CAGAAGAAATCTTTAATGGAATGAATTTAATATATAAGTTTGTGAATGCAAAAGTTGATTGTGCTGATCTCCTATGTTGTTTGAACATTGACATACCCATTAGAAATAGAAGAGGCGACTTTGTAATAAATAAATATTCTAAGCTCAGCATCACTAGTGTTGCAACAATCTTTTAAAGTTTCATGTATTTTATAATGTATTCTTTGAAGTCAATTTGCTCTTTCCTTTTCAGTATCATCCAGTTGTGGCCATTTTATTATTATTCCGAAGTGTGTATAGTTGATGAAAGTTAATAATAATTTAAATATAATGCAACAATTTTCGCAATACATACTAATTCAGGTGACTTACTGAGGTACCTACTAAAAATACCTTTGTGGTTATGTTATTGTAAACAAGTCAAAATTATTCTAGAATTTAAAATCTTTAATCATCCAACAAATTATAAGAAATTAATTAAATTATCCAATAAAACGGAAATCTAGACGCATACGATCAATCGAAAAGAAGTATTTTCGGTAAAAACTGCCTTTTTGCCGACTTTTGGATTTTGAGGTTAGGTGATCCATTTTTATACGGAAAAATATGAGTTCGGAAGTGCTAAACTGCTATGTATGCGAAGAAACTTGCATTTTTAAGGAGGACAAGACCCAGATCTTTGGATGCTGTTGCGATTCCTGTGGTGAACCTATATGCAGGAGCTGTAGTGGCATAAAAACCGCAACAGAAGTTCGAGTACTACTACTACAAAATCGTACCTGCTTATTCTGGTGTCCCAACTGCAAAGAGGATAACCTCTCAAAAATTCAGTCCAGTAGTAGCCCATCCACTGCCCGAGCAGTCAATTCCAAAAAAGTGAGTGGTGATGATAGTGCAGTTAATGTTGAAAATACCTACCTTAGATTACTTAATCATGAAATGGAGGACAAGAATGTTATCCTAAAATCCAACAACCGATTACTCGAGCAAAGGATCAAGACGTTGGAGTCAGAAATTGTAGCTTCCAAAAATGCCACTACCGAAAAAAGTGTGTCTGAGTCTGTGCCCAGGCAACAGCTGAATATTGAGGGTCTTTTTCAGGAATACAAAGAAAGGGAGAACCGTAAGCAAAACTTTATTCTTTTTAACTGCCCCGAATCGACAACTAATGCAAAGGAAATTGCTGTCCAGGTGGTTAACCAATGCAGGTCAGATCAGGAGCCCCTGATTGGTGTTGCAGAAGTTCAAGCTTTTAGACTGGGGAGAGAGGTTGCTGGGAAAAATAGGCCTGTGAGAGTGATATGTAATTCGCATCAAATAGCCTATGAAATAATACGAAACTCTAGGAAAATAAAGAGCAATCCTAGCCTAGCTCACTTATCAATTAGCGATGATAAAACCCCACAGCAATTACAGGATTATCGCAAACTGAAGCAGGAGGTAGAAGAACGCACAAATGCTGGGGAAAGAAACTTGAAAATTGTTTTCAAGAATGGGCAACCCAAGATTATAACCAATCATCATGATAATAATTTAAACTAATAGGTCTGTCTGACAGGATTATTACAGTTACATATCAAAATACTAGGGGCTTAAATGGTAAGACACATGATTTTTTCAAAGCTGTATCTCAATGTGATAGTCAGTTGGTGGTAGTTACGGAGACATGGTTACAGGATGGGGTTTATGACCACGAATTATTCAACGCTAACTACGTGGTCTACAGGAAAAACCGTAGCTTGGATGCTATGAACGTGACAAGAGGAGGAGGCGTCCTAATTGGTATTAGGCACGATATAACTGCGTCAAAGTTGAATTTGAGTGAGCTCGAGGAAATGATTCCAGAGATTGATGTTTTGGGCTGTAAGCTTCATTTTAAGAACCATTTTATTTATATCTTTACAATATATATGCAACCAAATTCACCTTTAATCCATTATCAGAGCTTATTTGATTTTTTCACAACTTATGAGCCTGTGCAAAATAATCAAGTTATCATAATTGGTGACTTCAACATCAACTCTCATACAAAATCACTTAAATTAAAAGATTTTCTAGCTTTAACTGACTTCGATCAACTGAACAATATTCCAAACCACTATGGTAACATAATAGACCTTGTCATTACAAACATCAAGTGTGAAATTAACAGACAAACTATACCCCTAGTTCCTGAAGATCTTGCTCACCCCACCCTCACAATTGAAATTGATCCACAAATGGGCTCTTTACCCAGAAACTTCCCTTGCAACACAAATAAAAATTATAACTTTCAAAGAGCAAACTATCCACTTATGTATCAGTTACTATCAGTAACAGATTGGAACTTCTTGGATGATGAACAAGATGTCAATACATCAGTTAATCTCTTTTACAAGACATTTTACAATATTCTTGATCAGTCAGTCCCTCTTTTCCATGTAAACACAAAAAATAAGTTCTCATATCCATCTTGGTACACTAGAGAAATAATAAGACACTTAAACCAAAAACAAAGGCTACACAACAATTACAAAAAAACTAAATTAAAAAGTGACTATGACTTTTTTTCGACTCTTAGGCAGACTATTAAAGCAGAAATTGATGAAGCCTACAGATCTTACATAAGAAATACTGAATCATCAATAAAAAGGGAACCTAAGAATTTTTGGAAATATATCCGGCAAAAACGGCAAAAATCTCGTATACCAGGATCAATGATTCTGGACCAATTGTCTTTAGAGTCCCCGCAAAACATAGTGGATGGATTTGCCAATTTTTTCAAAAGTGTATATGTTGCATCATCAGATCCCTTCTCAATTAACCCTGTCGAGCCCTACAACTCTCAAAATATATCCATTAATAATATTTCTCAGCTTGAAGTGTGCAGTGCACTCAAAAAATTAAAAGATACAAAAACTGCAGGTTATGATAAAATACCATCTTTTATATTGCGTGATTGCTCACCGTTTCTATCAGTGCCCTTACATCTTATCTTCAATAAAATTTTAAGAAATAATATATTTCCGGAAAAATGGAAAAAAACTAAGATTTGTCCTGTCTTTAAGGCAGGTCAAAATAATAATATCACTAACTATCGACCTATCTCCATACTGTCCAACTTTTCGAAGGCCTTTGAAATCTGTATTCACAACAATCTCTTCCATCAAGTTAAAAACCTTATATCTCCTACTCAACATGGCTTCTTCCCACAGAGATCAACTATCACAAATCTTACAAGTTTCCTACAAAGAGCTTATCAAGCTATCAATAATAGGAAACAACTTGACGTCATATATACTGACTTTTCCAAGGCCTTCGATAAGTTGGATCATGGTCTCATTGCCCGGAAAATGTACAACATTGGGTTTCATAGGAACCTGGTGAATCTATTTATCTCATATTTGAGTGGGCGAACACAGTTTGTGGAGTACAACGGTTTTCGTTCTGCTGACTTCAGCGCTTCAAGTGGCGCTCCTCAGGGAAGCAATCTAGCTCCTCTAATATTCGCTATTTTTGTGAATGATATCACCGACACTATCTCATCTAACTGTGTACTGTTTGCTGATGATCTGAAGATTTTTAGAATTATTGACACCATACAGGACTGCTCAGAATTACAAAACGACATTGACTCCCTGTCTTCTTGGTGTATCACAAATAAACTTCCGCTAAATATTAATAAATGCCGTTCTATGACTATTTCCAAACTTCATAATGAAGTGAAGTTTGCATATAGACTTGAAAATACCAATCTTTCAAGTGTAGATTCCATACGAGACCTTGGGGTAATTATCGACAGTAAACTGAGCTTTAATAAACATATTGACCAAATCGTTCAAGCTTCTTTGAAAACACTTGGCTTGATTATTAGGTCTACAAAAGATTTCACAAATACGGAGGGCTTGATTGCCTTGTACAACTCATTGATAAAATCAAAATTACAATATGCAGCTCTGATATGGTTTCCTAGTTATGATGTACATGTTGACAGGCTCGAATATGTCCAGCGCAGATTTCTCAAGTACCTAAGCTTTAAGCAGGATGGCATTTACCCTCCACGGGGATATGACCACAAATTATTACTAGAAAGATTTAACTTTTTATCACTTAAGCAAAGTACAATTCTTGCCAGTCAATTGTTCATTTTCAAAATATGCAATAATTTAATTGATTCGGCTGAAATATTAAGTTGCCTCAATTTTTTGGTTCCTGCAGCAAACACCCGAACTCACCATAAATTTTATCTGGAAAACTGTCATTCTAATCTCGCCAGAAATGCGCCTATATATAGAGCCTGCTCATGGCATAATCAATTAATACCCATTGTACTTGAGTTGGATCTTTTCAATGGTACTGTAAAGTCATTTAAAACTAAAATTATATCACAGATAAAAAATGCTCTCCTGAATTAAATTGCTCTAGTGATTGTTTTGATTGATTATTGAATCTTGCATTTTTGTGGAATATTGCTGATTAGCTTGGGGTTAACTTTTTGTCCTGGGGTTTTGCTGGGGGAAGCTGTTGATGCTGCTTAATATACTTAATTTACATCTGTTTTCTCTTGATTGTTAATTACAAACTATAGTTAGTTACTTCATGTATTTGTATATGAAGCATATGTCAAAACCTAGTTTTAAGTTTACAATAACATTTGTCTAGTCTTTAATTTGAGATTATTATAATTGTCTTGTTATTGGGTTTATCCTGTTAGACAATAAACAAATAAATAAATAAATAAATAAAATATAATTAATTTTAATAAGTTAAAGCATGCAGGCCGAGATGCAGGCGGTCAATTATCTGGACCGAGTTGCATAATTGGATGAATTTTTCAAGACTTCTTTATACCATTGAGCCGGAATTTTATTTCAGTAGATATTTTTCTTCATTTAGATCAATAAATGATGATCGAAGTATTATGGAAATATTCGGTTGGTGACGTTTATCGTCTACCTATAGTGAAAAAAATAGTTTGAATAACTTTGATTATGTTCAAGAAGAACATAGTAGGTAATTAATTCTATTCTTCCTATTTTCAGGACTTAATTGCACCCCACCAGCCATAGATGACTTTCCTTCCGACCTACTTTCGGAGGATCAGAGACGTGAAGGTGCCATCCTAATTCATATCATAGTATCATTATACCTTTTCGTAGCCTTAGCTGTAGTCTGTGATAATTATTTTGTACCAGCCGTAGAGAAAATTTGTAATGGTAAGAAGTCTAGAGTGATGAATACTGATTTGAATTTCTTTCTTTTTCATGTATTTGTTCTTTTCTAGCACTCAACATGTCAGCGGACGTGGCTGGTGCCACTTTTATGGCGGCAGCCACTTCAGCACCAGAACTATTCGTTAATGTTATCGGAACCTTTATCACTGAAGGTGACATAGGAGTAGGAACGATAGTAGGTTCAGCAGTGTTTAATATTTTGGCAGTAGCAGCATGTTGTGGAGTCAGTGCCGGAATGGTAAGTACTCATTCATAAAGATCGAAATAATAATTATTGCACAACAGGTCAATCGCAGAACTTAAAAATAAATTGATGTCACATTCAACAATAACTATTTTTGATTTATACTGTTTAATTAACTGAGTATGTGTAGATGGAATATTTTTTATTTTAGTGCGGAGTCAAAGTAATTCCATTGGACTGGTGGCCGTTAACGAGAGATTGTTTGGCTTACGGGATTACCGTGTCCATTTTAATTTGTATAATTCACGATGAAAGAATAGAATGGTACGAAGCTCTAATTTTGGTACTTCTCTACATTATCTATATACTGATTATGTACTTTGACAAATCGATACAAAAATGTGCCAGAGGTAAGAAACACGTTCACATTTTCTACAAATTTGCAATGACTGCATAATCGAACATATTTTATAAATTAGTGACTGTTAATTTGACTGATGATAACTACTATTTCTTCAAGATGGAATTTTGTTAGACACTTTTGTCTTTTTTGTTAAAGCTGTTAAACTTTTTTGAGATAATTTCGTTAAAGGTACTTGTATGTGATCTCGAGTTAATGAAGAGAATTTTTACCACCACCAAATAATAGTTGTTAATATAAGGACATTAAGTAGGTACTATGTACTTTTTAGTCCTATCATGAGTTTCAAAGCTGCAGAGTTCACATTGAATACAAAATAAGTTCAAAAACAACCATTCCTAACTTAAACTATGGCGAAGACCCCATTACATCAAAAGCTCCTATTGTAATCTCTCTTTAATTAGGCAAAGCTACTTATTTCCAGAAATTTAATGGAAGTCTCACATTTATTTATATAAACATAAGATAATCCTCTTTTTCCTATAAATCTTAATTAGTCTTATTCTAGGCGCTTTAAGGCAAGTAAGGAGATATTCCAAAGAGACCCGAAAATCTTCCAAATCTGCCAATAATGCAAACGGTAAGCTTTTCAAGCAACAAAAAGAAACTGGATTTGATCATCAATAAATTTTGTTTTCAAGAAAATGATGCTTATGTAACATCCACGGATGAAAACAACATTTCATTGGATACGACGTCAATCGCGAAAAATGCACAGGATAACGATAACAACGTCCATGTAGGCCAGGCGCATTTGAACGGATCTGTGAAAGGAGATTGCCAGAATCGTATTGAAATTAGAGAAGAATTACCAAAATTGGAGTTAAGTAGTAGAGATCCGGACGATGAATTACCGTTTTGGAAATGGCCAAGTGGAAAAGGAGGATGCAGACAGGTAATATTGATTAGGAGGATGTCATTGTAATGTTATATCAAATAATCCATTTTAGGTCACATGGATTATCACGTGGCCAATTCGTCTAGTATTCTTCCTGACAATTCCAGATTGTGAAAAACCAAAACTGAAGAAATGGTTTCCAATCACGTTTTTGATGTGCATTGTTTGGATCGGATCGCTGTCTTACATAGTGGCTTGGATGATTACAATCATAGGCAAGTAATATTTTTTCATTTTAAATCTGTTACTTCAAGTGAGTCAATGAATTTGTGATAAGATTTATTAAATAACAATTCTAGGTGATACACTGAGAATTCCCGATTCCGTGATGGGTATAACGTTTTTGGCAGCTGGAACGAGTGTTCCAGAAGCAGTTTCCAGTGTGATTGTAACAAGACAAGGTAATTTGAAGTTTAGTTTTATGCCAATAAAAAATTTCAATTTTCTGTAGGTCACGGTTCTATGGGAATCAGCAACTCGATTGGATCGAATACTTTCGACATTTTACTATGCTTGGGTTTACCTTGGTTTATTAAAGCCACGTTTATGCCAACTATTGCAGGAAAGCATTGGGTAAGTTACTTTTTTGAATGCACCCATGAGGAAGTTCTACAAAAAAAAAGGCAGATTTTCTTTCGGCTTTCGTAGAATACCTGAGTTTGAGGCAATAGTACAATAACCAAATTAACAAATTAATACATCAAGAAGAACTTCGAGTTATTCACGAATTGAGATGGATTTTCAGTCAATACGTGATCTAGGTGCCAAAAAAAACCACTCTAAAACGTTTTGTATTGATTTTTAGGAAACACATAGTATTTAAATAAGGAAACTACTTAACTTAAATAAATGTTTAAACTGAAACCCTTCTTGTGCCTGTCAGTATCCCTCCCAAACGATCGACAAATTCCTGCTGGACCATACTTATACTTTCTCGGTTTCTGGTTTAGTTTTGCATACAACATTTTTCAGATGGCCCCCACAAAAAATAGTCCAAGGAATTTAGATCGGGTGACCTCGGTGGCTATTCATTAGATCCACGCATTCAAATCCATCTGCAAAATGCCACATTTTCGAGATATTGCTTGAACTGCATAATGTAATGTGGTGGTGAATCGTTTTGCTGGAACCATAAATTTTCGTCGTGACAATACATGGGTTATTTAAAGGAATTTTTCAATGTAGGGATTACAAAATATCGTTGCAAAAAATGAAGGTATCTTGTACCGTGGACCATCCAACATAGGTACCCATCTCATTTTTGACAATTTTTCCCAAACATTATTTTTTTCAGAATATTGGTTGTTATTTATTATTCTCTCATGTATTTCAAATTCACTTTCACCCAATAGCGACAGTTTTGTCTATTACCTGCCCCCCGTTATTGTAAAAGTTGATTTATCTGAGAAATTATTGCACAAATCGATGAAGATTTAACAGAATTGCATTCGTTGGTTTAGGTCGTCTTCATTCAACTCGTGTACTAATTGTATTTTATAAGGATGCCACTAGTTTAATTTCAAAACCCTATGTAGGTACCTACACTAATTTGATGAGTGCTATGTGTGTGGATTTTCTTCTACAGCTAGAAAGACAGTGTTTTTTTTGCTCGTTAGTCGTTCATGATAGGACCCTCACCTGCTATCTTTCAACGAACCATTTTCTCGAAAATTCCTCTCAATTTTGGTTACTACTAATTAGATAATTGATCTAGTATACCCAATCATCATGAAGAATTCCCATTCTTTGCGTTGTTGATACACACATTTTAAATAATGGTTAGGTTTTGAAGGGTTCGCCCTACAACTGTAGAGTTTGCATTCGGAGGCCCATTGGCCCGTTGTAATTCCTTCTTCAGGGTGAATCCCTCCCAAATCTTTAGTCCCGAGTACATCGACCTTAAAATTTTGTAACTCATGTACACGCCCAACTTCCTGAGCGGCTTCATAACACCAAGTCGGACAATTATTTTCATGTCTCCACTCTGGGCGATGGGCGATGGGACAATGCTGCGCTAGCTCTTCGTGAAGTTGTCGTTCTGACGTCCCTAAGGAAGTTGATACATGTACGTGTAGTTTCAATGCTAATCGACTGTTTTTACATTACATTAACGATATCACATTTGTCGGACAAAAACCATGTGGCTTTGGGGAAGGTCCGACACCTCCAACATGTCGCTGTGGCGTCCCTAAGGAAGTTGATTCATGTACGTGTAGTTTTAATGCCAATCGACTGTTTTTTGTATTACATTAACGATATCATATATATCGGACAAAAAGCACGTGGCTTCGTGGGAGTCCGACGCTCTCAACATGTCGCTGTGGCGTCCCTAAGGAAGTTGATACATGTACGTGAGTTTTTAATACCAATCGACAGTTTTTTAAATTACATTAACGATATCACATTTGTCAGACAAGAAATTTGAGTTCCGTTTTTTTGATAGTTCTCCGAGTATTTACGGAAACTATTCAGTAAACGGTCATTCAAAACCACGCGTGTGAGAAAGAATGGATATTCAGTCGTGTTTTTTGTGCGATCTCAGGAGTGAAGATTCTGAATTTCGGCAGAAATTGATCAAAAGGACTATTGTTGTCCGACTGACTTCAATACTCATTTTATTTGTCCGACATTTACTACACATGTTTTAAAATTACATTGTTATTCATAATTATTTTTGTCGGACATACATGTATCAACTTCCTTAGGGTCGCCACAGCGACATTTTGGGGGCGTCAGACCCCCCCAAAGCCACGTGATTTTTGTCCGACCTATGTGATATCAATAGTGTAACATAGAAAACAGTTGATTGGCATCAAAACCACACGTACATGTATCAACTTCCTTAGGGACGCCAAGCGACATGTTGGGGGTGTCGGACCTTCCCCAAAGCCACATGGTTTTTGTCCGACAAATGTGATATCGTTAATGTAATATAAAAAACAGTCGATTGGCATTGAAACTACACGTACATGTATCAACTTCCTTAGGGACGTCAGAACGAAAACTTCACGAAGAGCTAGCGCGGCAATTTCCCATCGCCCAGGGTGGAGATATGAAAAATATTGTCCGACTTGGTGTTATGAAGCCGCTCAGTAAGTTTGGCATGTACATGATTTACAAAATTTTAGGGTCGATGTACTGGGGAGTACTTTAACTTATTCCTTTTTTCTTCATTTTATGCCAGTGTATGGTTTTTACGAAGTTCAGTATTTCCATTGCCCCTATCTTTCCTGCGCGTTCCAGGTCCTCCCGAAAACTTTGCCCTAAGTGGTGTAGGCGGCAGTGACATAGTGGGTGGTCTATTGTTTCATCATCCTCAAAGCATTCTTGACATAGTTGGTCGGTCCCGAGGCCCTACTTATGGAGCGTTCCGACTGTGATAGCCCCTACTGAGGTGCTTATCGATCCTTTATCCAGTTTTAATAATTTCCTAGTTTTCTCTATATTCACGTACGGCCACAGAGCGCGTGATGTTACGCAGTCATTGCGATTGCTCCATCTTCTGCTGTGCAGCTGCGTCATGGTTTTGTCTACTAAATCCTTCAACAGTTTGATCGTATGTTTCAGCTGGATCCTTTTTTATGTCCAATTTTGCCAGTCTATCTGCTATTTCGTTTCCTTCGATATTACTATGTCCAGGAGCCCAGCTCTCGCGGCAGCTCATCACTATTTTTGATTTCACTAATATGTGATTCTAGGAGTCTCAGCGCTGCTTTGCTATCCACATTATATGTGATTAGATGGTTTGATCCCAATCTTCTCTCGAAGGCATAGTGAAGTTTATCTCATTCTCTAAAGAATATTTGGCCACTATGTAGTCCGATGCCTCGAAGAATGTTTCGGCCTCTTCGTGGTCCATCATGTTGGCTGTATCCTCGAGTATTCTCGAGTGTCCATACTCGATTTCCTTACACAGTTTGGAGTCTCTTAGACTAAGTCCTCCCTTAGAAGCTGTGCCTCTGAACAAATCTATTGGTAACTGTTAATATACATCTTAATTCTTTTTAGTCTTTATCACATCATTATCGTGTCCCATACATTGGCATACTTTATTACAGCTGTCATCGTCTAATCCGATATTTGCTTTCTACGCCCTTCTGTCGGTGCTGGAATAACCTTGTAAATGTCATGTATGGAAACCTGTGATGAAAACAGTGTCAATGTCATCAGTGTTCGACCACACAATAGCTATTTACCTAACAAGTGCGGGAAATGAATTTTTCCGCAAGTGTTAGGTACAATATTTTTCCCACAGGTGAAAAAATGTAAAATTTTTCTTTTTTTTTTGACATATCAGTGCGGTAAAATTTTTTCCGCACTGACAGCCGTGCGGAAAAACTTTTTCCGCACTGATATGTCAAAAAAAAAAGTTTTACCGCACCGTGCGGGAAAACTCATTTTCCGCACGCATATCAGTGCGGAAAATCGATTTTTCCGCACGGCTGTAGGAAAAATATGTTTTATACTTTTTGATAAAGGACCCCACACCCGATACATGAGAATTTCGGAACCATACGATTCTCTTTAAATTTCAATATGTTGTAGGTATGGATAAGTACTTCACAAAAAAGTAAGTTAGAATATGGTGGCTTCCTCTGTTTGGCTACAGTGGCATATCAAAGTTACGGCCATCAAAATAAATTATTATTATTATTTTTGCATTTTGATGTTAAAAATAAGCCTATATTTGATGGATAGTAACGGCGGCGGGTATACAAAATAATTTTTAGTATGTAAGTCTAGTGGCGTACATTGGAATACTGAGAAAATGTGAAAAAACTTCTTTGTGCGGTGGTAATTGGAAAAAGTTAATCGGTTATCAGGCTGAAAATAAGTTCATATCTGATAAATAATGACAGGAGCGGATATTTAAACACAATAATTTTCATCCAGTGTCGTAGATAATAGTAGTAAAAATTGGTGAAAAATCTTCGCTGTATGGTAGTAATTAGGTTATCACTTATAAGGTTAAAAATAAGTTCTATCTGATAAATAATGCTAGATACGAATATCTGAACTTAGAATACAACAATTTTCATCCAGTTTTGAGTCGAGTGCCGTGGATAACACTGATAACAGTAATAAAAAATTGTGAAAAATATGCTTTGTGAGGTGGTCATTGGAAAAAGTAATTAGGTCATCGAGCTCAAAAACCAACAAAAATGATACAACTTTCAACACATCGATCACTTGAAAATGATTAATAATATCACCTTATCCTAAGCTATACTGTTTACTGTCGAACTGCATGACGACGATCTTGGAAATCTTAACTACATTCAACAATCTCGTTGAAGGATAATGCACTACATTTCCTTGGTGCCTTCCGTATCCCAAATACCACAAAATACGGGATACATGCACACACACCCAGAGTTATAGCTCCTGCTTCACATGTGCAATAGCATGATGTAATAGGATCTGGTAGGAGAGCAGGAGACCCTCAATATTTACCTCTAAGTCAAAGACATTGGAAGTAGTGTATGTAGTATGTCTTGTTGCTTGAGTAAATCGTGAGAAAAGTCGAGTCCGTATAAGTCCAGCTTTATTTTGTTGTATTTCAAGAACAAACT